AATCTAGTAATCACCCGACAATTCACGAAGGTTCGAGAAAGAAGTGGCGTGATACTAGTCACGTGACCTCGCCGACGCAACAATATGCTGTTTTATTCAACGGATGCGTAGACAGTGTTTTCATACACGCCTAAACAGGAGCAGAAAGATTTTTGTTTGTTATTTAGCACAAAGATATACAATGGGGCATCAATGCTATGTCTGCCTTGGTTATCGAAACTCGATTTTTACTGTTATAATCCTCCAGACTTATCACTGAGCCACCTTGGGTGGGGAGCAAATGGGACGTTTTGGATACTTTATTTTTTATAGAAAAACAATTTCTCACCTCACCAGTTCTTCCTTACTCTTGCCTCTCCGTCACTTTTACCCCCCCCCCCACCACCCCAGTAGTACAGCGGTATGTCTGCGGACTTACAACGCTAGAAACCGGGTTTCGATACCCGTTGTGAGCAGAGCTCAGATAGCCTATTGTGTAGCTTTGTGCTTAACTTCAAACAAACGCTTTTAAACAGGGTTCGGAATCCAAGAGTGTTTTTGTAACTTTCACAGTATAATTTTTTTACAGTGAGACTTTGATACAAAACATTAGACATTAAACATTAGAGAAATTTCGTTAATAAAATTGCTAGCTATGTCCATTCCCAACGTAATAAAAATATATATTGTATCATTTTAAAATTATTCATGAATATGTTTATTACATCAAAAGCATTTAGTCCAAAAAAAAATGACACGATCATTTATTACAGGAATTTGCGTTTCAGTCAACTAAACTAACTCTCATTCCATTTTATAGTTTTGCTAATCAGTATTCATATGAAACAAATAAAATAAACAAACAAACTTGCAACTAGTTTCAAAGTGTCTTAAAATAACCAGAGTATTTGTCGCTAGGAGACAATCACATGTAGAACTTGTATTTATGTTATTTTATCTCATGAGAACGGCTCCTAGATGGCTCAGCGGCAAGTCAGGTTTCTATGCTCGCGGTGGGCACAGCACAGATATAGCCCATGGTGTGGTTTATCTTTAATAACAAACAAACAAGTCTTCTTGGTAAAGTACATTTTCTAATAATATATTAAATCGCTGATATTGTTTTCATAAATTATTTCTTGAAAGTATTCTTGCCATTGAGAAACTAAAATATCTAAAAGTGAAAAACAAAATGTAATATAACAAAACTGAAATATACCATTACAATGAAAAAGACTATACATTATCAATACTCCTAAAAAACACAAGATGAGCCGAGCGCTTTGGGAAATCAGTCTTTGGAAAGTTTGTTTTGTTTTAGAGCAAAGTTGCGTTGCACAATGGGCTATCTTCACCGTGCCCACTATAGGGATCGAACTCCGAATCTTAACGTTATAAAGCCCTTAAGCTTATCCCTAAGCCACCGAGAGGTAGGCTATGAAAGGAAAAAAACTTACTTTTGGAAAGTGTCTTAAACTTTTTGTAAACGAAGTGACATTAGTTTTTTTTATCAGAAGTAGAAAATATTTGTACAATGCTTTGATTTATACAGGGACTACACTACCATTATAAACGTTAAAATAGTTGTAACGTCACAATAAGCTATCGAAATAGTATAAGAATTAAAAGTTTTTGAACAAAAATTATATATTAATAATTTTTTTGTGTAAGGAACCAAGTAATAAATGCTAAGTTTCATTTTTCATTAATTTACTTTTAACAACATTTATATATGACTTGTTTTTCGTATATTGTATATTGAAAAATAGAAGCAGTAATAAAGAAAGACTCGCGTGATGCTAAGTAAAAAAATCTGAAATAAATATTTTCTAATTTGGCCTCTCGGGCTTGTTTGTTTGTTTTGAATTTCGCGCAAAGCTCCACGAGGGCTATCTACGCTAGCCGTCCCTAATTTAGCA